GTAAAATTTTAGGCAAAAGAGTGTCGGTCTCAAGGCAGTATGCCTTGAAAAGCTTGGCCGGGGCAACAGCGACGGCGAACTCGTTTTCCAAAGTGATAACACCCATTATAACTTAGGATTTTAAAAGACTGAGAAGGGGGGAGAGATCGATTGTGTTGATTTTGAAGATGTTTTTGTGATGTGGAAACAATAGGAGGAGAGGTAGTATTTTTAGCATGAAATTGAAGGTTATGTGGTGTGAAAGGATCACATATATGTGTCGATGACCAGTGCTAATTAATTCTTCATATTCTAGCTGTTCTTTGTCATTATTTGTTTAAATTAAATAATTTATGTCCCAGTCAAATAAATCACCCTTGAAACCATATAAAATTCTAATTGACTATGCATGCATCTCCAACATTATGGAAAATCCAAGCACATCAATTTTACGGAAGATAACTATATATTGACGACTTCAATAATTCCAAACTGACGGGAATTTCTTCAGATGGTTTACTTGAGTTGTTTTGTATTTATATAGTTAATTAAATACTCATATCTAGGTTAAAGCTGAAAGAGGCGGCCTAAATTTTATATTTAAGCAATATTTCTTCAATATTTATTAATCTTTTCTATATATATATATATATATATATATATATATAGGCTGAGAGAGTTGAAGAAAAGCCACCGGACAGGATGACAATAGATAGGGCCTAAATCATTAGCAAATGGTCAAATGAAGCGCCCCCCCATGCAGATCGTATAATAACTTGACAAAATCTGAAAAAAAAAACAATTTGAAAAATCTAGAAGGTTTAAATAAATATAAGTTGAAAAATCTAGAAGGTATTCCTTTTCTCTTTTGAGAGAATTGAAAAAAGACTTCTAAGTTGCATCATTTTTAAGAATAATTGTGGATGGACGACTGCGTACTGTATAAATAAATAAATAAAAGATATAGCTTAACTTAGTTTTCAATCTATAGCCCGAATCTCAATTAGATACCTAAGAATTTTGTTGTGTTCTAAAGTTTTCGAAAATTCTCAATTAATTGTTTCATCCATTTTTTACAATAATTTATTAAAATAATAATATTTTAAAAATGACAATTTACTATCCATTTATCATATTTTTCATTTATGATGTCATTTATTTTATATGGAAAATAATAAAAAGAATTATCATAATATGCTCTTAATGTCCTATTTTGTAGTAGAATCAGTGATGTTCAATTTTCAATTTAAGTAAATATTGATGTGCTTGTATATTTTTTTTAAATCAAAGGATCGAATTGAAATAATGAGAAGTGTTGATTTAATTTCCAAGTGCATGAATCGTAATAAGTAATAAAATAATGAATAGAGTATCTTTCCATGAGAATTTATAAAAATTACTACTAATAATAAAAATCCTTTAATTTACAATTTATTTGAGGAATCGAATGAGATAGTTTACGAAACAAAAATTAATGATTAAAAACAAACAACCAACTGATAAAATATTATTAAATTCAATTCTACTGATTTTAGGATTTCTGACTTACTGTAACTATTTTTATTTGAACTTTCTTAATTAAATTAATTATTTCTAGCTTTGACAATAAGGTTTTTCTAATTTAAACAGTATTTTCTCTTGAGTATCAATGAATTATTTCGACAAACAAACTTTATATATTTTATGAAATTTCTGAACTTGTCAAAATTTATTAAGAATCGTAAAACCTTTAACGATTACAAAATTTCATAGGTTATCTCTATCCTATAGATTTGTTACGATGTTTCAAACACTGTCTAAAAATATCAGAATAAAAGTCTACTTCATGGTTAAATTAAAGATAAACAAATTTGATAAGATGAACATCACTCAAAAGTAGAGAATGACAACAAAATAGCTAGGTGTCTTTCAATCTGCTTTGATTTTTTACCCCTTGTTTTTCTCTGTTTTTGACTCTTATTTTATCCCGCCTCTTCTCTTCTTTTTGGTGTATTGAAGGGTTTCTCTTTGTTTTTTTTTCATTTCCCTAAGTGATCCTCCCTTTCTCTCTTATACTCTCACATTTTTACCTCTTGCTGAATTAAGAAAGTTTCCTTTTTTGTTTTGTATTCCTTCCTAATTTGATATTGTTGACTTGATTTGAGATAGAAAACATGCAAATTCAAAGATTTTTATTTATGGAAATATTATAGAAAATCAAATCTACTTTCTAGCAACTCTAATCCTGTAATTTTTGAATCTTTGAGACTTGAGCTATGGACCATAGCCCAAGATAGCATTTTGGAATGCAGGAATTTCAATTCCCAATCAATCCTTATTTTTCGACTCACTCTTGAGGCTTCAAAAAAAAAAAAAAGTTTTATGCCCTTTTTATGTTTTGTAGATCTTCATCTTAGATTTTAAAAATAATGATGAACACTTAGAATTGAGTTGTGTAACTTCCTTTACAACCCAAAATCAATTAGCATATGACATTATTGCTGGATTTTACCTGCTCAGTGATCTAGTATATAAAAGCACATTAATTTTTCACAAGGTCAATAGTTCAAAAAAGAATCCAAAATTCTAATTAATTTATGCAACACATCCAAAATACTTCAAAATCAAGTATAAATAGTGAAAAACAAATATGCTATAAATTTCCTTATCAAGAAGATAATTAAATTACTTGTTTATTTTGGATCAAAATGTATTTGTATGTTTGCGCATATGTAATGAGTGTATCATTTTCACACTTCATTTCATACTATCGGTTTAGATTATATTGATGCAAATTACCAACTAATCTAATGATGATAGATGAAATTATAAAATAAAAAATAAAAATGACTCAAGCTAGCCTAATTCAATTTTTAGAATTTCTGACACTAATCATGAAACCCGATAACAACACAAAAAAAAATTCAAAGACAGATCATGAGATTGTGATTAATTAAAAAATCTATATTAAAAGTAGTCCAGACTTGTTTGAATGTATTTAAACCATACACTAGTCCAACAAGATATATACGATAAATCATAATATAATACCTAATGGATCTTGTTCTTTCTTATACCATGTTGTATAATGTTGTTATCCAATTTTTTATCCATATTTTTGATAATTTTTTTAAAAACTAAAAAATAGCAAGGAAAAAAATAAGGAAAACCCAAAAAATATGTTTTTAATATAATTGCATTGTTTTTTGCATTTTCAATGTCATCTCAAATGAATTTAAATTTTCAAAGGTATTTTAAACGCATTCAACTTTTAACGTGCAAATTTTATGATCACTGATTTTTCTTATTGAGTCGACGTTGATATTGTCTGCTTTTAAAAATATAAAAAAAAATAATAAGAGAAAATCAAAATTAAGAAAAAAAAATAAAGAGTTGAGGGACCAATATGATTTTGGCCAAGCAACACTTCTCCTATAAAAGCCAAGCTACAGTGAAAAACAAAAAAAAAAAAAAAAGAAAAAGAAAAGAAAAGATGGACCTAGGGAAAGGAGATTTTGGGGGAAAACAAAAGAAAACAAATTATGTATAAAAAAAACCTTCGATACATCGATTGAAAGTAAACACTTGACGACATGGTGATTTTTATTATGTATTTTGCAAACAATACAATAACATCAACTATTGAAAAGAACTGCTTCAATACAATTAACCAAATGACCACAAAATCAAAAACTATTAAAGTAATAGAAGATATACTTGAGTACTCTCGAGTTTTCTTGCCGGTAACAAGGATGGAAAATTTACCCAAAGGAAGAAGAAAAAGCAATAACCACACTGCCAAAGACAACCAAGAAAAAGGACACACACGTGGGAATTTTCATATTTAGGCATCTGGATTTGCCAAGAAGTAGGCTTCAACAGCCTTGAACAAGCCCGCGGTCTTTTTGCCATACACGTCCTTGATTTGATCTTTATTGATCTCAGCATCACCCTTGATGTAATATGTGCTGGTTCTCTTGCAAATGGAACCTCCCTCAGGAGTTGGCACGAACTTGTGCTCATAAGTCACCTTTTCTACTGCATCCTTCCAAACATTGGCTTCAATCAAGCTGAAGCTGTAGGTCAAGTTCTCTTCGTCAATAGCCTCAATCTTCTGCTTGGCATAACTGAGTTCTTTGCCTGCAAGTACAAAAATCAGTTTTTACACAGCGAGCGCTATGTGGATTTCAATATAGTTAATTTAATTTAAAGTAATTGCAACAAATAATATAGTAACCTTCGGCAAAAGTGATCTTCCTGAAGGTTCCAGGCCCTCCATTTCCTTCAACTATATCAGAGCTCTTAATGTGCTCTGGTAGAATTTTAGGCAAAAGAGTGTCGGTCTCAAGGCAGTATGCCTTGAAAAGCTTGGCTGGGGCGACAGCAACAGCAAACTCGTTTTCCAAAGTGATAACACCCATTGTAACTTAGGATTTTAAAAGACTGAGAAGGGGGGAGAGATTTTGTTGATTCGGAAGATGTTTTTGTGATGCTGAAACAAGAGGAGGAGAGGTAGTATTTATAGCATGAAATTGAAAGGATCACACAGATGTGTCGATGAGCAGTGCTAATTAATTCTTCATATTCTGTTCTTGATCATGATTTGTTTAAATTAAATAATTTATGTCCTAGTCAAATAAATCACCTATGAAACCATATAAAATTCTAGTTGACTATGTATGCTCTCCAACAGTTTGGAAAATCCTAGCACATCAATTTTATGAAAGATAACTATATATTTCGACTTGAATAATTCCAAGCTGACGGGAATTTCTTCAGATGGTTTAGTTGAGTTTTTTGTCTTTATGTTAAACAAAAGACACAAAAGACTGGGGTCTTTCAAGATCAGTAATGGAAAAAAGATTTTAAGAAATGGAGATTGGAAAACATAAAAGTCAAACTCATGGTTAAAAGTTTAAAGCTCGCAGAGGCGGCCTAAATTTTGTATTTAAGCAATATTTTTTTCCAATTTTATATGTACATATAAAGAGAGAAGCCACCGGTCTGGATGACAGTAGATAAGGCCCAAATCATCAGTGAATGGTCAAATGAAGCGCCTACCAATGTAGATACTATAATATTATCATAGTTATAAAATCTGTCCGGTCTTATATATTAACATGAGATTAGCTATTTCAGACCTAAAATTAAATCGGGTTAAAAAAAAACTTGGAATGATTTGATAGGTTGACTCAGCAAAACCTGATCAAAAATTTATTATAATATGTTGACTTTTATTTTTTACTAAAACAACATCGATTTGATTTTAAAAAAAATTGACCAGACAAATCAGGTGATCTGGTCAAAACCCGGGACTCTAGCTTTAGATTGGGTCGGCCACTGGACCAAATCTTAAAACTATGATAATAACTTGACAAAATTTCAATAAATAATTTTAAAAATCTAGAAGGTATAAATAAATATAACTTGAAAAATCTAGAAGGTATTCCTTTTCTTTTTTGAGAGAATTGACAAAGGACTTGTAAGTTGCATCATTTTTAAGAATAATTGTGTTGGTGCGACTGCTTAATAAATAAATAAATAAAGGATTTAACCTAAATTAGTTTTCAAACTATATCCCGAATATCAATTAAATGCCTAATAATGTTGTTGTGTTATAAAGTTTTTGAAAATTTCTCAATTAATTGTTTCATCCATTTTTTATTTTTTTTTTAAATATTAATATTTTAAAAATGACAATTTACCATCCATTTATGATCTCATTTATTTTATATGGAAAATAATAAAAAGAATTATAATAATATGTTTTTAATGTCATATTTTATAATAGAATTAGTGGTGTCCCATTTTCAATTTAAGTAAATATTGATATGCTTGTATATTTTTAAAACCAAAGGATCAAATTGTAATAATGAGACGGTAGTTAAATTTCTTGTCTATTTAGGATCAAAATGTTTTTGTATGTTTACACATACGAGGGTGTCATTTTCATTAACACTTCATTTTATATTATCAATTTTAGATTATCATATTATTAATTTTTAGATTATTACTAGATAGGTGTTTAGCACTACACTACGAGCTAGCCTATTTATGTTTTTCATTGTAGAAAAAATATCAAGATGATGCAAACATTTAAAAAAATATTTAAGATTCTGGTCATTGGCACAATATTAAAAAAAATTAAAAAGCAATGGAAAAAAAAGTCTAAGTCAAACCCAATAAACTTGTTGAATCCATAACTCAAAACATGATATTAGAATAACTTTATAGAAAGTAAAAAAATACAAATTACCAATAAATCTAATAATGAGAGATGAAATTAAAAAATAAAAATGACCGAAGCCAACTTAGCTCAACCTTTAAAACTTGTGATAATGATCATAAGATCGGATCACAACACAAAAGACAAGTCCAAACATGGATCATGACATTGTGACTGATTAGAAAATCTAGTCTTAAGAGTAGTCTAGATTTATTTGGATGTGATTAAACCATACACTATTCTAACAAAATTTAGACTGAGAGATGATAATATAATTCCATTTATAGTTGCTTGCTCTTCTACTGAAACTGAGTATAAAGTTTTGGCCGATAGCACTGCTGAGGTTATCTGACTTTAGTATTTATTAACAGATCTTCAAGTTCCGTCTATTTCTGCTCCTATCATTTGGTGTAATAACCTTTGTTGTAATCTATTTTTTAGTCCCCACATAAAAAAAGAAAAAGAGAAAATATAAAAAAAATTAAAAAAAGATATATTTGAAAGAAATTAAAAAATGATAGCAGTGAGAAAAGGATGCTAGAGCACTTAGATTATAGTCAGAAATTGGTTAAGGAGGTTCAAAAATAGAAAGTTTAAAATTTGACAGTATAATTTTAATTTATGAGAGTCATATTGATAAAGAAAATTCAAGTTTGAGGAAGAAAAATAAAAAATCAAATGTTTATGGACTTAATTAAATTTTATAATTTAAGGAAGGTTTGATTATAAGAAAATTTGATTTTTAAGTCAATTTGAGCTTTAATTTGAAGACATTAAAATTCCGATGTTGAATTATAATTTTTAAGAGTTGATTTGGTCAAATCAAATGTTTAATTACATAAATAATGAAGTTGGATAGCCAATTAGGGACTTGATTGAAGAAATCCGAAATCAAGAACCAAAATGAAAAAAGCGCGCAAATTGAAGGATTGATTTGAAAATTAACATTTTGGTGCTTTTTCTTTTAAATAAAACGAAGTGTTTTGGTCAAATAATGTTGTGTCATGTATTGTTAAAAAAGAAAAAAGCCAAAAACAGTGTTGTTTTGAACGGCACCTTGAATCTTCTTCTTTCCCTGGACACGCAAAGACAAGAGAAAAAGACGTTTCTCTCTAGTACAATGCCACTCCCTCTCTATCAACCCCATTTGTCCAAAAAACCCGGCACAACTCATATCCACACATACCCTGCCACTATGCCATAATGATGAAGAAAGCCAGGGGAGCGATGCCCTTCGAGCAACTACCCAACCCACCTTACCCTACATCATGGCAGGGGTAAGGTGCCCTCTCCTCCTCTACTTATAAATACCAAAGGGGGGCACCATAGAAAAGGAGGAGTAGGGCGTATCTTGGGGGTTGAAAAACAAAGGAATTTATTTTTTGGAGAGAGGAGAGAAACTGATTAGAGGAAAAGAAATGAAAGAAATGAAGGAAAAAGCAAAATGAAGGAGGGAAGATTTGTTTGAGAGATAGAGGTGAGAAAGGTTTGAGGGAGGGAAAGATTTTGAAAACAAGAGACCGGGGGGTAAATGTGAGATAGGGGGAACGAACTAAGAGAATTTTACGAAGGAGAATAGAATAAAAAGAAGAAAGCAGGAGATAGTTTAAGAGAGGAATAGAGAATTGTTTAAGGAATAGAGGGGGAGAACAAAAGAGAGAGAAGGGAGAAACCAAAAAAAAAAACCAGAGAAATAAGCAAAGGAACCAAAACAGGGGAGAATAGAGACATGAAGGAGAAATACAATTAAACAATGGATCTTACCTTAGGTAGAGTGTATTTGGGGTGCTAATACTTTCTCTTTACGGAAAGAATCTTTGTACCTGATCTCTCAAACCATTTAGAGTTTCTAGTAACCAAAATATTAGGTGGTGATCTCATTCTATTTTTCATTAATAAAAGACAAGAATTTCTCGTCTCCCCATATTTGTCAAATAGATATACATACCTGAGAGGATAGACAATCACCGTAATGCAATACACATATGACAACCTTGGTGCCACTTATTTGTCTGTGAATTGATTAATACTTAAAAGTGCATTTTTATCATGGTTTTATATCATCATTTTGCACTTGAAGTATCAATAACTTCTTAACTAAAGCATGTTTTATAATAATATATCTAATAATATAAGATACCTTTAATTTATGATAAATATTCATTTTAAATGCAGGTCTATCACATAAATGAAAGGATTAATTGATGACTTTAAGAACTTAAATTGCAAGGGCAAAAAGATGACCAAAATTAGAAAAGAGATGTCGGTGCAATCCAAACCGGAACACTGTTTGGTAATTGGGTTATATCTGGAGTTGTAGATCTCAGATTTAGGTCCACTTTATATGAATGGAAAGGTAAGACATAGGCCTACAACTTTCATATGGAGCCAAAGATCTAAAAAGGCCATTTTCAAGTCTAAATTATTGCAACAACAAAGAAGCCCGAAGCTGTCCTCCAGCCCGAGTACTGTTCAGTATTTTGGCCATATCTAAAAAAGAGGCATTTGCCATGTATTTAGGCATCTTGGTGTCTAGATCAAGATCATGCTCTTGCTTTCTCTCTTTGTATTTTTTGTAATGTTTATGCTTTGCTTTCATTAATATCAAGTTTATGCCTTTCATTTCCTTTCCTTTACTTAGTTAACTTTTATCTTATTTATGTTCTTATTTTGTTTATTTATTTTTCTTTCTTTCATTATGCCTAGCTAAGTTAATTATGTCAAGGTGAAAAGGTTACACTAATGGTGTAAGAATAAGTATAATGTAAACTTAATATGGACTTCAATGTTTG